CGTTTCAGTGGCACTTTAATAATAGTAGCGCCAGAGTTAAGGAATCAAGTCAGAGTTCATTTTCCATGTTTACATAGCCTCATCTAAACACGAAGGAAGTTCAGAGAATTCCAGACAGTTATGCAAGCCTGAGATGTAGCCAAGGGTTTGCATAATTTTTGAGAATTTTCCCAGCCCCCTGAGTGTTTAGATGAGGTTTAATGTAAACATGGAAAAAGTCCTCTATTGCTTTAATAAAATATTTCTCAATAATATGCGTGAATCTAAAACGTCACAACCGTGTTTACCTACTCTTATCTAAACACACCTATCAACCAATGAGAGCGCACGTAGTATCTCACGTATTTTATAAATAATAATAGAATGTTAATGTCTTTAGGGAAGTAGAGGAAAACGAGGACCTGAAGGAGAAAAGGGTGAAGAGGTTGGTGTGTTGTTATTGGATTTTTCCTCCACTTGCACACAGCAGATTTCTGCTTCTACATAGCAAACTGACCATCTTTTCTAGTTCATTGTTTCATAATTTATCATATTGTTTCCAATTTCATCCACAGGGACTCGCAGGATATCCTGGTGCGAAAGGAGATGAGGGTCCCAAAGGCGAAGATGTGAGTCAAATGATGGATTACATGAAACCATGCAAAATTATGACATATTTACAGTTGCATAGTTAAGTTTACCAATGTACAGAGTACTTTGCTCTGTTATTACAGGGCCAAGGTCATGAAAAGTACTACCAACATAACTGTATTGAGTTATACAGCTAACAATAAAACAGTACTTCAAGTCATCTTCATTAATTGCAGCCTTTGTACTATATTTAAATGCATTTTTTTTCTTAATACACCAGTCTTTCTGCTATCTTCCAATCCAGGATGAATTGAAATGTGGAGATTTTTTAGAGCTTTGCATCTGTGTTGAACTTCAATCCTATCTACTCCTTCTCTAGCATTACTGTAAATCTAACTTACAGCTGGATTGTTATCTTGAAGGGTGCTGCAGGAGCACTAGGACTGCCTGGCCCAGAAGGAACTGAAGGACCAAAGGTCAGTGTTGTTACAAAGTATGCTTGTTTTACAAAGTATGCTGTAGAAAATCAGTTTGGTCCTCATAGAAACCATGAGCTCATGACCTGTATGTTAACTATACTGAAGCTAGCTAATCACAGCCAGCATGTTTCTTTTTGTCTAGCCTGAATCTGACATGATTTGTGACTTTTGGCTACTATAAGCTATTTGGTGTTTTGGCCTTTGTACAATGTACATAGCCGTTTTGTATTGTAGAGGTTATGGACCTGCTTTAATCCCATTGAGACGTGGAGTCACATGTGCATCTCCCTCCACGGTAAATTCACCACTTGAAAACTTGACAAAAGTTTGTTAAATGGCTTTAGGTGTATCATCACACTTGCTTGTTGTGAAGACTATTTCAACAGTAATTGTATTTGGAAGGAAGAAGTAAAATAGGATAACTCACAAGAAAAGCCTTAGTGCAAAAGCCAAGGCAACATATAAAAGTATTAAAAATAAAGATAGTAATTAAGGCTATGGCCACACAATCAATGGGTGTGCACAATGGGTCAACAGCTTGAACTCATTGATAGAACGTCACAGAAGTGTCACCACCAATGGACAACACCAACACTACTCAAAACTGTTTGTACTTGTAGCATGAACATTATTTTTTAATTGTTTGTTGGTGTATTTATGGATTTTAGGGCCGAAGTGGAATTCCAGGTCCATCTGGTCCCCCTGGACCTACAGGAACAAAGGTTAATGTCAAATATTTATTGCACAGTGATATTGGTAACATAATGAACTCATTTCTCTTTATACCATTAGGCACATACGGCCAATTATTGACATTAGACAAATAAACAAACTGTCATGTGAAGGTTCGTAAAATAACAGGGAGATACAGCAATTGGAAATTGGTATTCATGTAGTAGTTATTAATGACCCAAAGGGTCAAAACAAAGAAATTGAAATATGGTTATGTAATAAAAAGGACCTAGTGAGTGTTTTCAAATACAGTAGAGAACTTTTTTGTTCTCAGAAAAACTTAAGAAAAGAACATAAAACCATGGGTGCTAGAGACACTTGAGGATGGAAACCAGTGGAAAATCAGTAAAATAACCTGTGAACTCTTTGAAGTATTAGTGGACAGGCTTTTCACTAGGTGAGAAATTTTGAAAGCATGCGAACAAAGCATTTTCCATAGGTTTAAAACTTTGTAAAAAACCTTGGTCTGGGTTAATAGGGTTAACAGGGTCTACAATTTGTGCTTGTGGACAGAATTTGCCTCATGCAAAATTCACAGTCTGTTTGCATAGGGTGCTTGATAGGGTGTATCACAGGTTTATTCACAGGATTTTCACAGGTTCTCATCCATTGGTGAGAGTTAACTCCCCTTTGAAAACCTTCTTCTATGATTCTTGCAGAAGCCTTTTAAAACATTTGGGTTTTTCTTTCAGTCAAAAGTTGTAACTTAGACATAGATTTAAATTGTATATTAATTTAGCGACAAAGGGACACACAGTCAATCTCCTTAAATTCATTAAACATCATTATTTCATTTTTCAGGGAGAGAGAGGCTCTCCTGGAATGCCTGGCTATGCGGGAGAACCAGGAGAAAAGGTAACTGAGGAAAACCTCTTAGCATCACCAGAGTTCTCCGTAAGCTCCGGCGACCGTCGAAATTCGCCGTCTAGTCGTCCTTGGCGCGCCGGCTACTCATAGTAAATAAATCATGAAAAAAAATTGTTTGTAACAGTGTGAGCCTATC